ATTAATTTGTCTTTGTTTCATGCTATTCGTTCACTTCAATTGTCCAGAGAACCAGATTATGGTTTATTCCATTTGATTTTGGGACTTTCTCATCTTGAACATTTGTGCGTTACCAATGATTCTTCAATGATTGTTGCAGCTCAGAATTCATTGTCTATCTTTGTTTTCGCCAATTATTTTTCTTATCTTCGCACATGCCAACTTGGTCAAGTTAAATTAAATAAGGATTATAAATGAAGTATTGTTTCATCTCTTCGTTCACTGTGTATTTCTACAGATGATATACTAGTCTACACCCAAATATTTCAATCGTGTCTATCTCTTGTTCAATTCTGCATCAAATTTACAATTCACAAGTGCATGATTAGTTCATTTGATTGTGCACCTCATCAATGCCTTCGTCGATTACATTTATACTTTCAATATCTTCGTTTATTAAACTCTCAAACGATCGATTTATTACTTTCTCTTGTACCCAATCTCATTTATTTTTCGATTAACAGATTTCTTGACGATCGAAACACAGTGACAAATGATTCATTCGTCCCCATTTTGCATAAACATCTGCCTAAACTTCGCCATTTTCACATTCATAGACTGCCTTATACGCTTACGACGATATTATCCAACTCTAATGATGATGACATAAGATACTTCATTATTTTTACTTGTCAGAGAGTACTCTAACAACACATTTTCTTATGTTGCTCATTTATGTTGTGTGTGCGCGCGTCTTCATTCTAGTATGTGTTATCCAGTCTTCTATGCGGAGGTCAAGCAATCATTTTTCTTTCTCTCTCCTCTTTTCGCATTTTCTTTCATCCGTGGAAAGAATGTGTGAGTGATAGTGGTATTAATACTTGTCCTTATCATGTATATATACATTCGCGCTGTGTGACCAAGTTAGTGTTCATCTTTGTCCAATGGAAAGCAAACTACTAAAAAAATTTCATTCAATAATTGACAAACACTTCGTACTGTATCGCTAGACATGGTCATTTAATCGATGTTTCTCTAACATAGAAAGACATTTATAACTCAATTTGTCTTTAACAATAATAATTTATAGTGCATGTAAGAATTCGTTTTTGTTTTCAAAATGAAATTCATTCTATTGAAACAAAGACTAGAAACGTACTCATAGAAGTACAACGATAGATAACAAACAATACTCAATCCTAATTTTTGTTACATATACTGTTCCATCTTGATATACATTAAACACTTCTTTCGATGCAGTACTAGTACGTTCATTGACATAAATCAATTGTTGTAAGACAAAAATATCATCAACAAATGTGATATGCATCTAAATTATTTAAAAGTCAGAATTATTATAAAAATAAACAGCTATCTAAATAGTATTTGAATATTTGAACAAAATATTGTAAATATGATAATCGCTTTTAACTATCACAAGTTTGTTAAATGATTTTCATTCACATTATGAATCCACCTATGTGAACAATTAGTTAACTGTTTACAACTAAATTTACTACTATTTAATGAATCAGGGATTTATTGTATTTCTCTGAATACATGCGAGGATATGAATATGGTTGAGAAGAGAATCTGTACATAAAACACTTGCATCCATATCCTTCACAAAGAGAAATATACAAATCGATTCATCATTTACATAAAGATAAAATTGATTGGGTGTGGGATTGTAGACGTTATTGTGCTCTTCATCGATACCCACAACCACACTTACATCGAAATGAATAAAAATATGAAGTCATAAAACATCTTTTTGGTGGTTACATATTACTTACATAATAAAACAAGAATGTCTTCAAAAGGTATGCTGACCATGAAATTGAATCCGTTTTGATATCGAAACCGATAGACGATAGACATATTTCAATATGAACCACTTATCTCGTTTCATGTATGTTTGATGTTTTGTGTTCTGTAGATCATTAAAAAAAGACAACTAGCTCTGTTACTTTCAATAAACTATGATAGTTTCTTGTTTCTCTTCAGCAAAAGACCTATAAGGAGTAATTGAGTATAAAGCATTTGAAATGAGTTCGAGAGCAACCGTTAATATAAAAGTACAGTAAACATCAATAATTGAATTATACGAGCAACATTAAAATTAATACTATATGACGTTCTATCAGCTAATGAGAAAGGAACGATAGTCTTTGACAAAGAATATAACATAACGGCACCCTGCTGCTGAATTATTGATGTAAATGAAGTTATGGCTCATTTGATGTTATTAGATAACGTGAATGACGAGTGATGGTTTCTTCATTGGATAGAACTAAATATGTTGATCTCTTCAGACTATGTCGAAACCACCAAGGGAAAAGTTATTTGACGATACTCTATAAACAATCAATACGTTCTATACGATGACCTCTCAAGACAAGAAATATGCTTCGAGTGATCTAAGGTCAAAAAATTCTGCTTCTCATGGGATTGTCGTTGCTGCTAAGAAAAGGCGGTTGTATATATTTAGAAGACGAATCGATTGGATATCTCGTTTGATTTTTATCCATTCTTTCTGTCATTTTCTTCTACAAAAAAAAAGAAATCTTTCAACATAGCCAGTCTACATTTAATTCTATAGAAATGACATCGTCCTGTTGCGTTTCAAAAGAAACGTTGGGGATAATTCATCTTTTAATGTGCCTGATTAGTCTCGGTTTGATTTTATTCACCTCTGTTGCCGTTTTAACGAGAGAATATTCGACATATCGGCATTCTGAACTTGATGCACAAAAGTTTTCTTTGAGCACAACTTGCCATATCGACAAAGTTATATCACGTCCACAACAATACAAAAATTCCTTGTTGATTTTTATCAATACTACGTTTCTCATTTCTTTCAAAGTTACTTTAAATGGAAATCGAACCACGCACCTATTTGAAGAATGATTGGTACCTGTATCGCTTAAACCAGATGTGGTTTGTATAGACGTGAAAATATCATTAATATCAATTTAATTCACGTTTTTTCTATCTGTTTAGATAAACAGCACATATGCGCGCTTTATTGATCCGACTGATCCTAGACAATGACCACTTAAATATAGAGCAGATATTAGTTCTGTTCGCAATACTTTTACCAGGCAGAAGTTGGTGCCCAACTTAGTGATCATAGTCGTTATCTTTGCAGGATTCATTCTTGTTGTCATTGAATTTCTCATATGGATTTGTAAAGTACGACCACGGTGCTGGTTTCGTGTACGAATACACTCTATCACTTCAACATGATGAACTGATTATTTTTCTCATTTTTCAACATTTAATTGTAAAAAATAAATAAAGTGCAATATGAAGTTCAATTCTATCAATCTAATAGGGTATACTTTCATTCTTGTTTGTTTAGAATGCAACATTCATTTCTAAAGCATGATACTAGAAGATTTTGTAATTCAAATTGAAGATAATAAACTGTTTCAACGTGTTACTAATGTTATTCATAAAAAATAGCAGATTGCATTTAACGACCGTTGATATCACGGATTGTTTTAGGCCTTCTTACTTCTCGCCGTCACTTAAAAAAATCCAGTTTCGAAGATAACTCGAACTTGAGGTTTTTGTCATATGAAAATGAAACAATGGGTCAATGTTCGTCATAAAAAAACTTGTATTTAATATCTCAATCAAAAACACTTGTTTCTCGAATACACTATTTGTCAACATTAAATAAACTAGATATGAAATGGTATACAACTACCATGCTATTCTATATATTTTTCATTTTTGTGTTTGGATTAAGTGTTAGTATTTCATTCATTAATAGAAGCAATGAACTACTTGATGATTCATATGCTTTTGGCTCTTATGATGCGTCTGTTTTAGGTAGTGTTTTTTTATGAATTACGTTGAGCATTGCCGAATGACTCGTCAAACAACTTGCATTCATCTTGCAAAAGAATGCTACAAATATCATTTCAAAATGTTTTCAGTTATCACACTACCATATAGATGTAAAATAATTATGATACGGATGTCTAGAGACAAGACATACTAATTTATGGATGCATTTTATCTTTTCATCTATAATGCCGATTCCATTTTCTTGATAGTTTTCAATGGCCACCACTTAATTATGTGTAGTGTCATATATCCATCTACAATTGAAATGATGTAATCAATCATCATCATTAGGGTCTTCAGCATAGATAAGACCGTTAAATTCGACAAAAAAAAGAGAACATTTTGACTCCATTGTTAATCGTGTCAACAACGATTATTTTGTACTCAAATGAATCTAAAGTAAATCTTTTCCGCGTATGAGAAAGAGTGCAACGAACAACTTTCATCAAAAAGCACTTATATCAAAAAGAACAAAGATGTGCATGTCGACTTTATGATTCAAAGACATATGCATCAAACCGAATAGATAAGTGATCCATACCCACATCCTTAAGTATTTGAACAGCTTAAAAATCATTCATAAAATTTTTGAAAATTAAAAGTATGTGCATCAGTTCAAACAATAGACTACTTCAACGATGTTCATATGTCTAGCTCAAAAAATCATTTTTTCTAAGTGTGTCTTTAGACAAAATGTTTTATGGAGAAATACTTCTATCCATTAAAGATTACTATACATATGTATAAAAGAAACATGCTAAATCCACCATCAGACAACAAGACGAACTTATGTTCTATTCTTGAATTTTCATGATTTATCAACGATAGCAATTTATTATTCTGTACACTATATATATAATACATAGGTATAGTAGTATAAACTGGTAAACTCAATACATTTTATACATAGACGTGATTGCTTCATGTATGTTCATCAACCAAATGATTTAATCAATTTTCACTTTTACTCATTAAATATTCTATTTCATATAGAAATAGATCAATAGGAGACATTGGTTAAGTTTTGCTAAATATAAAATAGAAATGAGCTAATGTTGGTGACAGCTGTTACATGAATCGATAAAAAAGAAAGTACGATGATGTTTCTTTTTCTGTTTTTGAAAACATAATCAATTACATATCATACAAACCTTCGTTTCAATATGCTGCTTGATACAGATAAGACATTACCCATGGTTGAAAAAGAAAAACTTGATCAATCATCTCCTGATCATATTCAGAATATAATTCGTATAAAGAACTATCTTCTTATTCTTCTTGTCATACAATGGGTAAGTTCAATAGAATGTTCTATAAAAATATTTCATAAAAATCAATATTTATTTAGTTTACATGCATTGTTACTTTTGTTTTTGGATCTTATGCAATATTAGTTTCAAATTCTAATAATGTTTCAGTTGAAAGTAAATTTTTGGTATTAGTGATGACTTTAGTTATTTATTATATATTTGGTCTTGTCATCACATATCAACAACATCGAATTGGATTACTTATCGTATGTTATTTTATGTTCTTTGATATTTTTTTTTTAATTTTTTTTCTTGACTTTCAGTTTGCATCTCTTGGAGTGATTATATTTATAGTAATATGTATTTTATTTGGTTATATAATCTTAGCGATTATCGCAATCAGTGCTGTGTTTGGAATTAACGGTCAACCATATGCACTTATTATAGTTTTGTGGATCGTCTTTGTTATGGTGGCCTTTGTTATGGTAAGATGACTGCTGATCTATATATGTGACTTAAGTGTACAACATTTTTTAGATTATGACTATGAAATTCTCTGTCAATTTAGCAAAATTGATCCAAAAAAATTAGTATTCAGCTGCTTAAAACTGCAAAAATCATGTGTTTGTCTTCTACAATAAACACTGAAAATGTTTTCCTCAAATAAAGTTTAATTCTCTGATTTATATGTGATTAACTGAATGCTTTTTCTATTTTTCTTTTATTCTTTACCTTTTATACAACATAGCCAATTCAATATTTTCAGGACTGAAAGTTGTTTTTTGGGAACTAATTGAACTAAAAGCAATCTTCTACCTCAACTGTTAGTGAAATATCTCTTCTTCTCTTATACGTAAGAGAAAACAATAATTACATTGACAGTTAAAAGAGAATCTCTTTTGATCAATAAGAACCAAAGAGAGTGTGAGTATGCATATGAGCCTTCTTCCAATCAACATCCTTCACCCACACTTACACAGTTTCGAGTTTTCAAACATGAAATACTGTTTTTTGTTTGCTAGAAAGTTCATGTTTTACTATCCATCAGGCTGCACAATCATATATTTTATTTTTGATGGTGCGAGTATGAGCATTCAAACTGACTAGTTTTGAAAACTTGCTCTATGTGCATCAACGGAGATTCGTTCGTAAAGTTCGTTTCGGTTTGTTCTTTCTATTCTACTAAGTCTCAACTCAAAATTATCTGAGAAAAGCTACACCTGTATTTTCTTACTTGACGACAGATAAAATTTCTTTCATGATAAAAAGACAGATACTTAATAGCAATGCTTGCTTAGCTTGTCCGTATAAAAAGAAAAACTTTCAATGCACTTTTACCATTAACCAATATAACAGTTCATTTAATTGAACTGATGTGGAGGTATTTCATATTTCTATCGCAGTGATATTTATAAGCCATCCTGTATTAGAAGAACCGCGATTTTGATTACATAATAATGATCGCGATTAATTTTACTATTATACTTGTCCGTGCAATCAACATTCTGTAAACTACGAATAAGGATACGCTAATTTAGCAAGGTTTTGTACGAGAGACAAGGCACACACAAAAACTGCTACTAATTTACTGAATAAAGAAAGGTTCGTATACAAAAAAAAGTTGCTTTGCTCAATTAAAATTTAATGAAAATGTCAATATTCTTCCCACATCTTTACATTTCAATTTAAAGTAGACAAATTTTAAAGGCATGCATCATTTTATTAACTACTTACACCATGTTTTGAAAATTCAATGTTTTTGAAAGTCGTAGTAGTAATGAATATCAAGACGACTTTATTTAATCTTAAAAAGACTTTCTCATTTGAACCAGTAAAATATGACTAATTGCTTATCTTGAAAATTGTCGTCATCTTCAATGGGTTGGATTTTGTCAACTGTTGCTGTACAATAAGTATTGATGCAAGAAATAGACAACGAGACATTAATGTTTGTTATCATGACTTGTTTATTTGAATGTGGATGAGATAACCATTTTTTTTTAAATTACTGAGGAAGTGAAGGATTTACGCGCGTGTTCCTGACTTCGATGTGTTTATATATCAACAGAGCAAAGCAAACAAAAACTAACCTACTCACGTATATATGACTGAATGCTGGTATAGTCTATATAAGAAACATGAAAATCTTAAGTGTGTTATGCGTATTTAAGTAGTTTTATTGTATTTCTTATTTTGAAGTTAACTGCCATACGATAGAAGGTAAGCCTACAAGAGTAGAATATCAAGAAATAACACCTTCTAGAAAGTTTTAAATTGCGTTTGTCTAAAAAGCAATGTATGGCGTATTTATATATCATCGTACTTCCTAGCACACGTTATGTGCATTACTGATAGACTCCTTATTATCTATAAGACAATAGTTCAAGCAAAATGGAACTGATCAATTGATTGAATGAATGTGAGAATTCCACGTTGAAATATTTCTGAAATTCTAATCTATTAGATTTGTCTATTGTAAGTCTTGTGAAGACAAAACAAACCACTAGTTTTTGTAAATAATAAGTAACCTGTTAAGAATTGATAGTATGTTTGGAAGAACAGTTAGAAAATTTCTCCAAATCCAACTGAAATCAATGTTGACTAGCCACTATCCTGTGTTGTTGTAATTATTTATGAATGTTAAGATCGATAAATATCTATAGTCTTTGTTTTTATTTGCGAAGTTGAGCTATATCTAAACTATTGAACAAAATCTTGTTTTCAGCCCTTCTAAATTAGATTAAAACTCATTACTCATCGTGTTCATATGCGTGAGCAACTTCTTGTCGAAAATCATCGATCTCCTAATAGAAGTTACACGTTGACTAATAATGGTCAGGCTAGAAGGTGGAATAGCTGCTTTGATTCTTAATAAATAAATTGATTGTAGTGCATGAAGACATCGTTTCTTTTCTTTTTGTCAAAAAAGTAGACTTAAAAGTGGCGATTTTCGACGTAGACTTGAGCGCAGATTATAGTTAATTTCGATCAATTCTAATACATATTACAGCTTATACCTCCCATTTTCGATGAGAATCAAGGATACGAACAAATACGTTTTCTTTTTTCCTATCTTTCATTCAATTCAGTTTTCTCAAAAGACCGAAGAATATTGATGTTCATCTTGTCGAAAGGAAAAGATTGTTTGCTTGTCTCTTGTTGAGATTTAGTGAACGATGAGTTCAATCAAAGATATGCGACATCAGTCTTCCTCATGGGACAATTTTTGACTGAATGCTCGGCGAAACGGATATGAACAAAGGGTCTGGTGTGGGTGTGAGTGTGTGGGGTGTGGGTGTAGGAGTGTATTGTGGAGTGTGAGTGTCTGGATTGCCTTGTATGTGGGCTTACATATTTTTACGGATTAGATGAATATCCATACACAGCCCAACACTCCACCCACACCTAACACCCGCACCCACACACCCACACCCCACACCCACACCCACACCCACACCCCACACCCACGCCCACCCACCCACACCCCACACCCACACCCACACTTACACCCATAAATAGACTTTTATTTGACAAGAATAAAAATATGCATCTGTCATCGGATAACATTACTCTTTTTCTCATTAACTGACAGATTACACGTTTATTTATAATTCTTCTTGTGTAAAAACATGAAATTTATTTTATGCAAATTTAACAATAAATCATATACTGTTACCATGAGTGTGAAGAAGGACGACAGACGGACGTTAGAAATTTAATTGTCTTTAATATTAATTTCGCAATGAACTCCAATTTTGTTACCATGTTTGTCATGGTCTGAGGAGAGGGAAGAGGAGATCCAGTTTTCCTATCCTTATGCATCAACACTCATTTTAGATCATATTTCACAAAAAGTATTAAATCCATATAATTCATCAATGATTTCTAAATAAAAGAATTCCCCACACAAAGACGAAAGACTTCTCATACTCGTTTTGGAACACTAGCAAAGCATCAATATCATCGGTTCGAGCGAGTTGTATCGAACTCGATTTGAAACCTGATCATAACAACATTTTCATCGTTGATATGAAACAGACCAACACAAAAAACTATACACGTGTTTATTTATAATATGAAATTGATAAGAAACATCTTCATTAGACAAACACAAAAACCAATGATACAAAAAACAAGAAGACCGAATGTCCATATATAGTACATATACATGTTGTCCTTGCTCAATGAACAATACAAACTTCCTATAACGACTAAAAGGCCACCGTTGTTATTTGCCAATAAGAATCGAAGTGGATTGTCATTGTAAAATTTGTCATTTATCTAAAAATTCATGAATGTATATTGTACAAAAAAAGTTGATATGAACAGCGAACTTTTGAATCTCGACAAACAAATAGGAATTGATACATCTGTTTATTTTTCGAATCAATATGTTTGTTGACCATATCTATCTAATTCTAGGACAGACTCAAGACTTACCTCATTGGCAAATATCAAATGCCAATGGTTGGATAGGATGTAGGCCACAACATTAAATATCAAGACACAGATATAACCAAATAAATAGACTGACATATGATCATATTTTTTAAAAAGTTTTGGACAAATTGTACTCATTGCGTAGAACATTGGCGAATTCAAGGCGTAAAAGGCTTTATCACGACCTAAAATGAAAGTCGGAACCATGTAAATCCATATGCTCAATGAAATATTTGTTAAACAATAGATCAATATGAACGATATGATCAAAGAAAATAACGAACGTTGAGTTAACATGAATCGAATACGATGCCAAATGTATTCTCGTTGCCGTAGATAATTAGAATTTGAATTCGCTATTCTCGGCTGAACGATAAACAATGAAACAATATAAAATTCTTTTCGTTAGTCACTCACTTTCTTTTTCATCCACATATGAACAGTAAAACCATTCAAACAATAAGTAAACTCATCCTTTATCAATTGTAGACCATCATGAAGTAATAATTTACTTCTACCATGTTCAGATGAAAACTCGAAGTAGAATGATACATTTAGCAAATATTGAAAAGCATCGATAAATGCAATCAAAATTTCTACATGTCTAATCGACACATTCAATCGTTCAATACATGGAAAAAGATGACATAGACGACGAACAGTATATGGATCATCAATAATATGACCAACCGATATTGTCAGCGTACGTATCTGACTCCATTGCATATGTTGAGTTTCTTTCAAAAAGTCGGCAAAATAACCATCGTAGTACGAGAAGTTGTCACTTGGTTTGCTTATCCACTAAAACAAAAGCCGATCGTCATTTTCATATAGGATTAGTTTTTATTTTCTACTTTTATCGGTGACCTCAGTACCAGTATCCGGCTCGGGCTAGATCACGAAAACCATACTTGATCTCCAGTCAGATCGGAGAAATTGAGTCTAAAGATCAGCGTCACTACTTTTTTTTCGATCACGGTCACGAAAATTCTCTCAAAAGTTTGAGTTTTAATACAAAATTTGGGAAAGGTGTTTTACGGTCATTGCAATTAGA